AATTGTCCCTATGCCCGAGTCCACGGTTGCATCCCATGGTGTCAGCCCATCTCATTGATGGTCTTCCTCTCCTGCAGTATCAAGTGCAAGCTGTACTGAAGGTATTAGTCAAAAAAACAAGGGTCCAGGAATTGATGGAATACCAATGGAAATAAAAAACATGAAGACCTGGATGTACTCACTGGTCTTTGCTAAGAAATTTGGAAAACAGCTACTTGGCCAACTACCTGGAAGAGAGCCATCTGTGTGCCCATTCCAAAGAAAGATGACCCAACAAAATGCTCAAATTATAGAACAGTATTATTGATATCACATACAAGCATAATTTTGCTAAAGATCATCCAACATCTGTAGCAGTACATTGACGGGGAGCTGCCAGATTCAGAAGAGGACATGGGACAAGGGATATCATTGCTGATGTCAGGTGGATCATGGCTGAAATCACAAAATACCGGAAGGATGTTTACTTGCATTTTGTTGAGCATGTAAATACATTCAACTATGTGGATCATAACAAATGGTGGACAACTTTGAGACAGATGGGAATCTGAGAACTCCGTTGCACTTACATGGTGCATGGATCAAAAGGCAGTTGTGTGAGCAGAACAAGGGAATACAACCTGTTTTAAAATCAGGAAAGATGTGCATCAGGGTTGTACCCTGTCACTATCCTTATTCAATCTGTATGCTGGACAAAAACCCAGAGAGGTTGGACTATATGAAGAAGAATCTGCCATGAGTATTGGAGGAAGGCTAAGTAATAATTTGTGATATGCAGATGACTTGCTTGCTGGAGTGAGGAAGACTTAACTTACTGATGAAGATCAAGGGTTACAGCTTTTTAAAATGGATTAAAACTCAATTTAAAGAAAACCAAGGCCTCACAATAATTATTATCAGTCAAGGATTTAATTTTGCATGGATCTCCAATCAATGCTCGTCGATTCAGCTGTCATGCAGTAGGTAAATCTGTGACACAAGGCCTCTTTAAAGTGTTGAAAGGCAAGGATGTTTCATGGCTCTCATATGCATGAGAAAGTGGGACTTTGAATAAGAAAGCTTGAAGAAGAATCAATTCATTTAAATTATGGTGCTTGCAAAGAATATTTAAAGTACTATGGGGGGGGGGAAATAAATAAAAAATAAAGTACCATGGACTACCTAAAGGACAAAAAAAAATCTGTTTGGAAGTACAGCCAAAATGCTCCTTGGAAGCAAAGACAGTGAGACTTCATCTCTCATACTTTGGAGATGCTGTCAGAGGAGAGCATTCTTTAGAAAAGGATATCATGCTTGGTAATAGCACCCTAGAGGATAGAGTAGAGCTACCCCTGTGTGTTTCCAAGACTAACTATTAACAGAAGTAGAAAGTCCTTTCTTTTTCCCATTGAGCAACTGGTTGCTTCGAACTGCTGACCTCTGAGATGGATCCCAGTAACCAGTATCAACTCAGGGCATCTAACAGCAACCACCCAAAGTGAAGGAAGTTATATCTGATCTGCTTCAGTAAGTAGCTCAAGTCTTCTTCACTTTCAGCAAGAGGTTGGGGTCATCTGCCTATTGTGAATCTTCTTTCAATTCTGATGCTGTGTTCTTCTTCATTAAATCCACTTCAAATGATTCACCTTTGCCCAGCAAACAGATTGCACGAGTGTGGTGGGATGATACCATCCTGATGCACAATTTTCATGATTTTAAGGCATTCAGTATTCCCATGTTCTATTCTCCCAATTGCTTCTCTGTTCGGGTTCATCCTGAGCACAATTAGGTGGTTTGGAATTCCCATTCTTTGCAATGTTATACACAATTTGTTAGCGGCTTCATAGTCAAATTCCTTTGCATAGTCAATAAAACATAGGTATTCTCTGATTTCACAACGAAAATCTTTGAACCATGTCTTCTTTTAAATTAAGCTTAAATTTATGGCTATTCCCTCTCAATGTACAGCTGAAATTAGCAAAAGTTTAGTTGAATATCATATTGATAATGTTTAATCATTTCCACATTTTATTGAATCATATTGTGTTAGTCTGGGTTGACTAGAGAAACAAAGTCATAGACACTCATATGTGTGTAAGCGAGAACTTTATATCAAGGAGCAATTGTACATTAAGAAAACATCCCAGCCCATTCCAGGTTGAGTCCATAAATCTGATATTAGCCCATATGTCTGTCACCAGTCTATAAATTCTTCTTCAGACTCACTCAGCATATGCAATGATGCTGAATGCAGGATGAAAGATCACAGGCCAGTAGGTGGGAAGTCTTGTGGATCGAGTGGCAATATTTCTGCACTGCCATGGGTCTCCACAAGGCTTTTCCAGCTCCAGGGCTCTAGTGTAGCTCCATGTGTCTTGTCAGCAGGAAGACAAGCAGAGTGTCTCCTGCCTCCAGGGAGGAATATGGAAGTTCCCAAAATCCTCAGGAGAAGGCCTGGCCCACACGGAAGCCTCATTGGCTATTGACATTGGCTGATTGACAGGCTAGACTCCACCCCTTTGCAAGGAGGTTATGTAACTGCCACACATATTTCTTCAGATTAGCCATAAATATGGATCTCTTTTTGTACAGTAGTGGTTTTCCAGATATCTCGGCTTAGGTTAGTGAGCACATTCAGCATTGCTTCCATTTGTTGAAATATCTCAGTTGGTATTCTTTCTGTTAATGGGGACTTATTTTTCACCAGTGCCTTCAGTGCAGCCCAGCCTTTTTGCTTAAATATCCATTCTTTATCATTCACTACCTCTTGAAATGGCTGGATATTAAACATTTTTTATACAGTGACTGTGTGCATTCCTTCCATCTTCTTTTGATACTTCCTGTGTTGTTCAGCTTTTGCCCCATAGGATTCTTCAATATTGGAACTTGAGGCTTACGTGTTTTCTTCAGGTCTTTCAGCTTGAGAAAAACCAAGCATGTCCTTGCCTTTTGTGTTTCTAACTTAAAGTCTTTGGACATTTTATTGTAATACTTTATGTTCTCCAGCTGCCCAGTGGAACATTTTTGTTCAACTGTTTTTTTCTTTACCGTCTTGTCTACTACTTTTAGCT